GTAATTTTTCCTGATCTTCTCCCTCTTCCCACCCTCCACTCTCCAACAGGCCTCAGTGCATGTTGTTTCCCCCTGTGTTCTCATCATTTAGCTCCCACTTATAAGTGAGAATATACAGTATTTGGTTTTCTGTTCCTGCATTAGTTTGCTAAGGATAAGGGTCTCCAGTTCCATCCATGTCCCTGCAAAGGACATGATCTCCTTTTTTATGGCTTTTCAATGTTCTTTTATATGGCTTCATAGTATTCCATGGTGTATATGTACCACATTTTGGTTATCTAGTCTATCCATTTATATATTTTTAAAATTAAAAAATGTATAGAGAGGGTGAACAATTTAGTGGTCACCAGGGGTTAGGGATGGGTGTGAGGAGGTGGGTGTGGCTACAGAAGGATAGAACAAGTAAGCCTCACGGTGATGGCCTGTGTCTTCGTCGTGGTGGTAGTTAGAAGAAGCTTCACACACAATAAAATTGCATAGGACTACACACATACACACACACACACACACACACGATTGCATATGTAACTGGAGAAATCGGAGCAGGTTCTGTGAATTGTATCAATGTCAGTTTCTTGGGTTGATATTATACACATTTATGCCAGATGGTGACACTGGTGAAGACAGGGTGAACATTTCTTAACAACTTCCTGTAAATCTATAAGTATTTCAAAGTATAAAGTTAAATTTGTTATTCAAAAATTCATAAGAAGGATACATAGCAACTTCAACATATAGCAATCAGATAAATATTTGTTCAAAGCTGAAATATAGGTGACCTGACTCAGCAGGCAGAACTGTTTCCCGTCTTCCTATACTCCCCTCTCAAGCCATTCCTCCTTTGCTTCCTTTGTAGGCATCTCTCACTTCATCTTTTCTAAATGCTGAGGTTTCCTAGTATCTTGGCCTTTCTCATTAATTCCATTGGTATTTATTGACAGTATACTATGTTTTTAGTTAGTGCGCTAGTCTCTGGGATACAGCAGTGAATAAGACAAGGTCCCTGACCTTATAGAGTTCACAGCCTTGTGGAGACATGGATAACAAACAGAAAAATAATATATGGGAAATATGTCAAGGGATGTTACATGCTAGAAATAAAAATAAAGCAGAATGATGAAATAGAGGCACTATTTTAAATATGCTAGTTTAAAAAGACCCCTCTGAGAAACTGACATATGAGCAGAGATCTGAATAAAGAAAGAAATGAATCAGGTATGATTATTTAAAGGAAGAACATTTCTGCAAAGAGAATCATCTCTAAAATGGGAACCTGTTTCTCATGAAAGGATTAGCAAGAGGGGCAAGATCTGGAATGGAAGAAACAATGGCTAAGCGTTAGCAGATGAGTCTGGAGGATTGCAAGTGGCTAGATCATGAGTATGTTAGAATTCTAGTGCTACATGACAAATTACCCCCAAATTTAGCAGCCCATAACAATAGATATTTCCTATCTCTCACAGTTTCTATGGGTCAATCAGGAGTGGCATAGCTGGCTGGTTCCTGCTCACATCTTCCATGAGGTTACAGTCATGCTGTCAGTCAGGACTGTCGTCATCTGGAGCTGAAACCTTCATTTCCGTGATGGTTCATTTAGACAGCTTTTGGTCCTCACCACATGGACTGCTCCACAGGGGGCTTGAGTGTCCTTATGACATGGAGCCCTGCTTCCCACAGAATGAATGATCTAAGAGAAATCAAGAGAAAAGATACAATGTCTAACAGCCTTGGAAGCAACATGCCATCATTTCTGCCATATTCTATTAGCCACACAGAGTAATCTTGATACAATGTGATCAGGGTTGAATACCAGGATCACTGGAGGCTGCCTTGGAAGATGGCTACTAAAATAAGCCAACTTTCAGCTATGGGTGAAAATAGAATTCTATTTTATTTTAAGTGGATGAAAGATCCCTAGAGGTCTGAAAACCAAGGAATGATGTAATCATGAGCATGCTTTTTACTCTGTTATGAGAATAAAGGGTAAATGAGACTATTATGGAAATAGAAAACATATAAAGAGAATGCTGTAAAAGTCCAGTAGAGGCACAATGATGGTAGGCTAGGGTGCTAACCAAGGAGGAGGTAAGAAGTTGTCAGCAGGTTACTCACTAAAAGTGAAGCTAACAGGATTTCCCTCATGCTTGGCCAACTTCTCTTTTTACACTCCTTCTGGGTGATCCCATCACTTACATGGTTTAAACCAGTGTTTCTAAAACCTCACAGTTTACCTGCAGAGCTTTTTAAAACATAGATTTCCAGGTTCAACCCCGGGGAGAGATTCTGATGTAGGAGGTTTGGTCAGAGACTTTGCATTTCTAAGGAGTTCCTAGGTGATGGTGGTCTGCTGGTACACAGGCCACACTTTGGGTGACCTGGTTTAAATTACTATCCATGTAATGGATAATATGGATTACTATCCATGTAATGGATGATACATAAATTCAGGCTTATATATTTCACTATCTTTCAGAAATCATCTCCAACAAATGACACGATTTTTTTTCAAACTCAGGACAAGACATGTCCAAACATATGTCCTTATTTCTCCTAATACATCTATTTCTTCTTTTGTATTATCTATCTCACTTGGTGGTACCCCGAAGGACCCAGTCATTCTAGCAAAAAAATCCAGAAGTCCTTCCTGATTCCACATTCCTCCTCATCCACATCCTTCACATCCCACCAATTACCAGGGCATGCCAATTTCACCTAAATATTTCTCAAATCTCACCATTTTTGTCTATCTCATTGTGAATGTTCTACTTCAAGACTAAACAGTCTCCTAATAGATTTTATTCACATCAAGTCAACCACATCAGTTTGCCAGAATAAACTAGTGAAATGCAAAACTGATCATATCCATCCTTTACTTTCAACGGTTCTCCATCACTGATACGATCTAGGCCATGGTCCTTATTAACATGGTGTAAGAGGTCCATGGTGATCTGAACCCTGTGCCTGCCCTGCTCCAGGTACATTTCCCATTCCCACGTAACTTCCACTTTACATTCCAACAATCTTGAGCTGCTTCCTTATAATACCCTGCGTATCCCACATCATTTTGGGAAGCCATGGCCATGTTGCTGCTCATGTTTCTCCTCTACCTCAAGTGCCTTCTCTTCCACTCCCAACCCTTCGCACGTCAACTACTCAACATGTACTCTCCCTCTTAACTGAGCACAGTGGTCACTTCCTCCAGGAAGCCTCCCTTGGTGTCCTTACATGTACTCTCAAAATACACCATGTGTTTCTTCTTTTCCTATGCTCACACACACACACACAAATTTGTTTACTTCTGCCTTCCCCATTACATCTTTCAGCTACTTGAGGTCTAGGACTGTGTCTTGTTTATTTCTGTACCTTTCCATGGGTCCTTGCATATGACCAGGAATTATTAAGTATTTTTTGATAATTAGACTCCTTTTAGAACTTCCTAAAATTATGAATGCTCTCTCATCCTCCAATACATACATTGATCTATAATAAAATCTGTAAAATACGTATTGATTTCACAGATTTTTCTGGAAAGGGGTGCTTCCGTACCCTCCAATATACACTGGGCTCGTGGTAGGGGGTGGGGGAGAAAGCCAGGTTTGCCTAGTGAGGTGTTCCCTAATAGCATGAAAAATGAGTGGTGGGATATAGGCCATGAATTTACCATTTTTGACTTTTAAATATTTCTTGTTACAATTAATGTATTCTGCCTATGTTACTTTCATTGTCTCCTCGGTAGAACATAAGTTCCCCAGGGCAGCAGAGATGTCGCCTGCGGTCCATTGCTGCACAAGGGAACTAGAACAGTACTTGGAAGAAAAGAGGTGCTCGGTAAATATTATGGAATGAATAAATGTGTCCCCTCTTGAGGGTGCAGAGCTATAGAATGTACTGCCTTCTGTGTAAGTTCGGGTTTGCTTTGTTTTTACAATAAAGTTATCTACATTGTTTCAAGGGCTATATTGTGTCTATATTACTTTAAAATTTATAAAATGAAGTGGTATTAGGTTTTTAGTATTTTTGCTCATTTTAATTATATACTATTTTTCTTTTCATATTTTTCTAGGCTAATCTCTTTTCTCGCATGAAATGACTACCACCCCGCCCCTTGATTATTTTGATTTCATTGACTCTAAGGAGAAGGCAAACCCTGTGGTATCAATTTACAAAGGGAGATGAAGAAGATGCAGTACATTTAGGTGAAAACAAAATAAATGTCAGTTTCTCCAAATTTGTGTGCTTAGTCAGTTCTAAATATATTGATGTAGTGTAAATACTGAATATTGAAATATTAACCTAAATAAGCATGTATTATTGTTAACAGCTCCTGGAATAGACAGCACAAATGTGACTTGGCTGCTTAAAAACTGTTCCTCAGATGATTTAAACATGGCCTCCGAGACTTGTTCCCATTTAAATTACTTCATAAACCATTTCCTCAAATATGGTACAAAGTCTATTTTAGCGCTTGTTAAATTGTCACAAATTCTGAGTTAGAAGACTATGAATTAATGAAGTTTTACTTCCTTTTGCAATTTCCTAGGTTTCATCAAAGATAGTACTTTCGCTTGCTTGTTTCATTTGAAGAAAAATCAGCAAAAACTATTAGAAACAATATTTGATTGTTTGTAGTGCAATACGAAGCTACATCTTGAAATTATAACCAACAAAACTCCCAAAATCTGTTTAAGGACACATTTTTAAATTTAGGACCAAGTACATGCCGTTAACAATCATAATTTCTTAACACTCTACATTCACTGCCAGCAAACTTTCAACATATTGGTTGATAATGAAGCTGGCGGGTACCCAGTGAGAACAGAAGTGAGAGGTACAAAGTAGAGCCCATGTGAATTTATTGCTACTGGTTTCAGGCTCCTTGCCTCCGTAGGCTTATGCACTGAAATGACCTGATTATCAGACATACCCTCACAATTATTCATAATACCCATAGCTATAGGCTCCACAATCTTGCGTGTACATTCATGCATCTCCACGTCACACGGGCTGTCATGCTCGCACATGTGCCATTAATTGACAAGAATGCTGCTCAAGTTGGCTGATCAAGAGATAGGCAGTGCAAAGGAACAGGATTTGAGACAGCCCAGGGTTTCCTCTTCAAGTAGGTCTAAAGCAATTTTTTTTTTCTCATTAACTTCCTTCCTGTTCTAACTGCCAGCACTCAGAAGTCAGAGTTGAGAGACAGAGGCACCCCGGACAGAGACGTGAAGCCCTGAATGTAAGTTCAAATACCTCGGGCTGGGGAGGCTTCAGGTGGGCGCAGAGCAAAGTCGGAAACCTCTCGACGGGGCTACAGCCCTGGACAGTTTATTATTTTTTTAGACGGGCGGTTCTGCTTTAAAACAAACTTTATGATAAGAAGTTGCTAAGGAGGCTGCAGAGAAGGGGAAGTTAGAGCAGGGAAGGGTAGCAGTGACTCAGGGGAGGAGGCTCAAAGAAGGAGGGTACAGGGTGCGCTGCAGCCCGGGAGGTGCGATCCTGAATATTCTGGAGAAGGGCTCTGAGAACACCACTGGGAGTGCCTGGAGGGGTTTCCTGCAAAGTAGGAGCAGGCACCTGGCCAGGCTCGGAAGAAAAAGACTGTAGATATAAACTGATACGGTCTGTGCTGGTAGATGGTGAGTTGTGCTGGGGTGGAGATATGTGGTTTCCTGTTTTTAAGCAGGCAATGTAAAAAGACTGGTTGAAAGAGAGAAAAAAAAAGTTCAAAGCTATCAAATATTAAACTGTCTTCCACTAAAGAATTTTCTGGTGATACAAGAGAAACGCATAATGAAATCCTCCCTTAGAGTGCAGGGAATTTAGCCCTCCAAGAGGAAGTATGGTATAGCACATGGTTATGTACTCATGAGTCATACAGTGATAGAATTTCTACCACTGACAAAAGACTGTGTATTAAATTCCTGCAGTCGGATAGGCAGAAAGATTGTTGCTGTTGTTGTCAAAAATAATAATAGGGCTGAGCGTGGTGGCTCACGCCTGTAATCCCAGCACTTTGGGAGGCCGAGGCGAGTGGATCACCTGAGGTCAGGAGTTCAAGACCAGCTTGACCAGCATGGTGAAACCCGGTCTCTACTAAAAATGCAAAATTAGCTGGGTGTGGTGGTGCATTCCTGTAATCCCAGTTACTTGGGAGGCTGAGGCAGGAGAATCGCTTGAACCCAGGAGGCGGAGGTTACAGTGAGCCAAGATCACACCATTGCACTCCAGCCTGGGCAACAAGAGCAAAACTCTGGCTCAAAAAATAAAAATATTAGTAATCATAATAGCCCTTTACATATGAGATAACTAAAAGCAAACATGGAAAACACCAAATCACATATTAAGAGACAGGTTTTAGAAAAATTCAAGGAGGCCCAGCTAGGACAGCTGATCACTGGGCCTTCAAAATGTCAAGGTCTGAATTTCAGCCACCATTAGGAGAAGTTCTTTAGGTATGACCTGAAATACTTTATTCCCTTTTAGAGGACTTCTCAGCCAGCATGTTTCATAAACATAATCTATAATTAAACTCTAGACCTATGGTAACTTGGGGTGTGGGTCTGATAAGCCCTGGGCAGTTCTTGATCCAGAGTGGGGAAAGGCAGACTGCTCTCACCCAGAGGGCTCGTGGTCACCCCTTCACACAGAGACCTAGAGCCACTGGAGTCAAGGTTGGCCTGGCGATCCTCACTGCAGGGACAGTCAGGCAAGGGAGATCAAGAGGACCATGTCAGTCTCTTGGTCCAGGGAGACAGGGGCAGAAGTTCAGTCCCTAGCAGGCATCGTGAATCTTGCCATTGGCTTTGTGTTTTTTTAAATTTGTAATAATATATTCCCTCCCAAACCAGATATAGCACAAGCTGAGTAACAAAAGCATCTTACTCTTTTGTGAGATGTGGGAAATTCCAAGAGAAGAACAGTTCTTTCTCCATCCATGCTTCACAGATGCAAAACGTGAGGACTAGCCATGCTGTCACTGAACAGAAACAGGCAAGCATTTTTCAGGCCTCAACTGGAATTTGGTCCTTCCTTGCTTTGGAGAGAGAGCATGAGTTTGTCGCTAGGGAAGTAGGCTCTGAGCAACATCAAGGTTCTGTTTTCAGTAGACGCTCAGCACCACAAAGTCATTCTGAGGGAAAGATGTGGGTCTGAGCTCATTTGGGGGAGCACAGTACATGACAAACATCAGCTAGCAGGAAAAGAGAAGCCCTGGGGAGTCGAAATTATGCAGCTAGAAAAAGAGAACCAACATTTGTTGAGTGCCTTCTATGTGTCAGGCCTGGTGATAGAAACTTTCAAATTTTGTTCCTGAGAAGAATGCAGAAGTGTTCAATAATTTGACTAAAATTACATATGGATACAAAAAGGATCAATAGCCACAATGCCTCTGAATTGCAATTCACAGGGCTTGGTGGTGCGTGCCTGTAGTCCTAGCTACTCAGGAGGCTCAGGTGATTCTCCCACCTCAACCTCCCGAGTAGCTGGGACTATAGGTGCGCGTCACCACGCTGGCTAATTTTACCATTTTTAGTAGAGACGGGGTGTCTCCATGTCGCCAAGGCTGGTCTCGAATTCCTGGGCTCAAGCAATCTGCCTGCCTTGGCCTCCTAAAGTCCTGGGATTAAAGGCACGAGCCACAATGCATGACCTATTACTATTTTTCTTGAGACAGGTCTCGCTCTATCACCCAAGCTGAAGTGCAGGGGCATGAACACAGTTCACTGCAGCCTCAACCTCCTGAGGCTCAGGTGATCCTCCCACATTCTTAGGAAGAATCACATGGAAGAAATTTTCTCCAATTTCACATTTTAAGAGTCCTTATTCCTGGTTTGTGTTATTGTTGCCTGGGATCCTGTATTCAAGTCTACACTGGCATACCCAGAGATGAGTCTCATGTTGCCCATGAAACGCCAGCAACATTTAGCCGTGCAATAAGCACATCCTGAATCACTCTGTGTCGTGTTACTCTCTGGTGTCCTCAGCCAGAGAGTGCATTTTACCACGGGTAAAAATTCACTTGGGCTTTCTTAAAGAGCCTGATAATCTTAGCACAAATGGTCATAAAAAATTCTCTCTCACTTCTGTCTAACTTTTCATGCTAATTTAAAACTTTTGTGAATATATTGAGATGCCAAAGGCAATGGCTTCCTTAATGCACAGTTTTCTTTGAGGATTATTTAAAATAATATTTGTATGGCATGACTTCACACATTGGGCACTCAGCAAAGCTCACTGGATCTCTTGAGTTCTCTCTCTTTGTGCATGCGAATGTGGGTTAGAAAAACATGCTATGAATGCACAGGCAAGACATAATAAGTTGTTTCTCTCACAAAGAGAAATGGTAAGAAATTACATTTCTACTAATTTGAGCTGTTCTCTGGACTGATCACAATATTTATTGTCTCTTACAAAATAATCTTGTCTTTGGTTTTTCCCATCCAGTTTTGAAGTTTTCATAGTCCTTCATGGGGCTGAGGTGGTAGAAAGCAGCACCGCAAAGTGGGGAGTATGGATTCCTCCATGTCACCAGGGACAGGGGCGGTGGGGAGAGGGTGGAATCCCTAACCAAGAAGGCTTCTGGTGTCCTGAGAGACAAACTTGCAATCCCATAATACGCCAAATCGCCAGGCAAGCAGCACAGCACATTCAAATCCTTGACTACCTCTGAAATGTCACCAGTGTTTTAGAGGTGGCTCCAGACCTGCGCTAGACCCACAGCCCATTTTGGGGGAAGTCAGACATATCCTAGTCAGCAGGGAAAGTGGAGATAACAGGAGTTACAGAGAATGCTGATGCTCACATAGGAACTTCTCTGATAGAAATCCCCTACTTCTGGTACTTCCACATTTCTCTGTCTCTCCCCTCTTTCTCTTTCTCCCTTCTCCCTCCTCTCTCTCTCCTCTTTCTTCTCTTTCTCTCCTCTCTCTTCCCCCACTTCTTTCTCTCTCCTCTCTCTCGCCTCTTTCTCCTCTTTCTCTCCTCTCTCTCTTCCCCCACTTCCTTCTTTCTCTCTCATCTCTATCTCTTCTACCTAATACGCGAATACCCATGGCCTGTGTGTCTAGATGCATAATCTAGCACAATTTTGCAGATCCAGCTTTGGGCCGTGAATTAAGTCTCCATGGTATTTTGCTCCAGAGCCAGAGGGAATTCTCTTAATTAGCTGTGCCTGTGTTCACTGACATTTCTCATCATTCACAGAGTGACCTCTGGCTTCAATGAAGAAAGGGAGCAATAAATAAAATCTAAAATTAAATTGTTTACATGGAAATTTTTAAAAGAAATATAATATAGTCTCATTTTAGGGTGATTCAGTTTTTAAACAATCCTTGCAACTCCCCAGAACTGCTTGTCTCTTTAATACTCCTCAAAGACAAAAATCTATTTTTAAGGAGGAAGGAGTGGGGACAGAGTCAGCTCCCATCCAGGGAAAAGCATTTGGTGTGGAAGCAGTTAGCTAGCTTCACTGAAGCCTTGTGGCAAAACAGACCACATCAGGGCAGGGAAGGAAGAAGAAGAAGAGAACAAATATTCATGGAACATCTATTCTTGACCAGTATAGTCCTATAATTTTTCACATGTCTTCTCCAATCTTTCATTCCCATAAAGAAGAACATCCCCATTTTACTGGTGGTAAAATTGAGGCTCAGTGAAATTAGCAGCTTGCTTGAGTCCTGTAATAATGCAGAGCCTAGTTTTGAATCCCTGGTGCATCTAACTCAATCTATGTTCTATGAGACATGAAAGTCGCCTTTCTCTGAATTACCCAGGTAATTTGTTTAATCTAAACTTAGGAATTCTACCTTTTCTTGTCCTCAGTCCATTTAGAGCTGCATTAATGAAACAGATGATGCTCTATCCTGACATGGGTGTAAATTTTTAAGTGTAATTCACTTGCAATGTCTTGGAAATTTCACTGAATTTGCAAGCAAAAACATTGATTTGTGCTATGTCATATGCACACTGTGAGTAACCATCCTAATTTAATTTGACATTTTAATTGAGGCTGAGAAGATTAAGTCCCCATCTCAGCACATCTAATGCTTGCCAGTGCTTTGCTGAATAGCCAACATGGGGATGTGAGGGCTCCACTGTGAAAGTTAATCTGTGTGGGCATCTGTGAAGCAGAAAATAGAGAAAACTGGAGTAGTAAGCCTGTGGGAAAAAATAATATGGGCTTTGGGGCCTAACAAATGGGGCCCACATTAATCTGGTTAAACATATAGTTGTTAATTC